AATTCAGCATCGTAAGTCCATGTTTACAACTAAAAAATTGTCAGAAAATTGTAGTTTCAGGTTGGTTACCACAAGCAAGACCAAACATATTGCAGTTGATCGTCTACCTATGCGCGTTAGCAATTTGTGTGGTATGGTTTGTAGAGCGACAAACATCCTATGCATTCATTCTTCTTGACTTCATCAATGTAACGCTTTGCCTTCATATACTGAAGTCTTTGCGGTTACCAAATGTGATGGTGATTGTCTGCTTTTGGTCTATTTTTTATTTGATACCGTTATTTTAGTCTTACCATCCTCAAATTTGCTATCTTCTTTCTTTAAGTGGATCACGGTACTGATGATCTGCATGTTCATCTACGATGCAGTGATGGTTTTCGTCACACCTTATCTAACGAGTAGTGGCTGCTCCGTGATGTTGGAAGTTGCCACAGGTATTGGATGCTCATCAGATGGAAATGATGGATACCCAATGCCTCCCATCGATGCGGCTCTACCAGAAAAGGTGGATTCAGATTAATTTCTTGAGATGACGAGATAATGCAAGCGTGCTTAGTTCCCTATGCTGATGCAAGTGCCTCGGTTTGATCCTATGATATCATGTGTTGATTTGACGATTGAGAAAACCTTCCAAATGACAATTTTGGGGCTTGGAGATATAATTATTCCAGGTATTTGCAATTAGCAAATTCAAATCAGCTATCTGCTTTTTCACATAGCTCTGCATTTTAGGCTACCTGGTCACTCACTGTTTCACTATGAGTGGTTTTAATGAGCGTTCACGCGTTATGTATGGTGTACTGTGCTCCTTCGGTAAGTAATGTCAAGTCTTAACTTTCCTTTAGTGAGCACAATTTTTTCAGGATATGGCTTAGGATTGATTGTAACCTTTATCGCACTTTCAATCATGAGCATGGCTCAACCTGCACTGATATACCTCGTGCCGTGTACCCTTTTGCCAATATTTATAATGGCTTGCATAAAAGGTCATTTTCGATTGTTGTGGCATGGCGCTGAAGATTCTACAGAGTCAACTGCCAGCTTGCAACGAAATTCGGTGAGTCTTTGCGATTT